ATGAGATGAATGCAATTGTGTTGTAATTTGAACATTCTTTGGCATTGCCTTTCTTTGGGATAGGAATGAAAACTGACCTTTTCCAGTCCTGTGGTCACTGCTGAGTTTTCCAAATTTGCTGGCATATTGAGTGCAGCACTTTCACAGCATCATCTTTTAGGATTTGCGATCGCTCAACTGGAATTCCATCACCTCTACTAGCTTTGTTCGTAGTGATACTTTCCATTTGGCTTCATATTCCAGGATGACTGACTCTAGGTGAATGATCACACCATCGTAATCTGGGTCATGAAGATCTTTTTGTATAGTTCTTCTGTATATTCTTGCCACCTCTTCTTAATATCATCTGCTTCTGTTAGATTCATACCATTTCTGTCCTTATTGTGCCCATCTTTGCCTGAAATGTTTCCTTGGTATGTGACAACATAGATAGAATTGAGGGCATTGTGCAAAATGAAATGTCATATAGAGTAAGACAAATATGGTGTAGTGTGTATGTGAAATGCATAGAAACACACGGTAGATTGGTAGCTGCTGGGGGCTGGAGGGTTGGGAAAATGGGGATATGCTGTCCAAGGGAACAAAGTTCCAGCTATAAGATGAAAAAGTAATGTCCAGCATGGTGACTGTACTTAACTACGCTGATTTCATTCTTGAACGTTGGTAAAACAATAGGTCTTAAAATGTTTTCATCACACACAGAAATAATTATGTGAAGAGATGGAAGTGTTAAATATGTGTATATAAGTGTATCAAACCACAATGTTAGATGTCAATTACAGATCAATAGAGCTGGGGGGAAACCCGTCTTGAGGCTGTCCACCTTACTCTGAGTAAAAATCAGCCTTGGAGGAAAAGATAGAAACTAGGGGAAATTTTAACAGATGGCATCTGCCAGCAATTAATGGGAGTGAAGCTTCTCTTTTAGCAGATGGGTGGATGTTCTTGTAACCAAACTCTATGATTTCTCTGTTATGGAGACTTTGAATAAATAACAACCACCAATTTAAAACTGTATCTTTGAGCAGCCCCTGGAAGGGAAGGAATATTTAGTGTATTCAGCACATGTCAAATGAAATGGCCAACTTGCAAATCCTAGATTTAGTGATCTTCAGAGACACAGGACAGAAAGAGGAAAAGGTTTCACTTAATTTTATTCATTTTTGTGCTTTAAAATAGAATCATTCTATGGGGTAGAATTTGAAAAGGGTGTGATTTTAAGAATTCAAATCAGACAGGGAAAAGCATATAGGAATTAATCAAGAGTTTGCTGCCACTGAAACCTCACAGGGACTCAGATTTTCCCAGGATACAAGGTCTGAGTCTTAAGTATATTCCTTCACCAATGAAGTGGATAGTGACTCAGGACACCGACTGCGCTCTGTCAAAACACACACATTATCACTTCGTAGTCACAGCAGAATGAAGTGCTAGAGGACAGGCTTCTTCAATCTACACACAGGGTGGTAAGGCTGGTCCCTTGTAATTCCACACAGGGAAACCTTTCTCCTTATCTCCTTCTGAGCTCTAAACGCTGTCATCAATGAAAGCTTTCAAGGCTAATTTCTAACCACTTAATCATGAAGCAAGACGTTTCTCATCTGTATCCTCCGCTCTCTCACTGGGACAGTTTATGCCTTAATTTATAACTTGCATTCTCTTGTATGAAAGAAAGAACTGGTCATACAGAACCATTTGTTGTTTAAAGTGTCAAGAAGTGTCCTAACAGGCCCAATCTTTGTGGAAGCCACAGAAAAAGATCTTTTACAGAGTCCAGAAGGACACAGAGAAACGTGCAATGTCACTTCAAACGTCCCAGATGCCAGGAGTTACAAACAGGAGAACACGGGCTGGGGCAGGGATGCTTCGTCTGTTTTATCACCACCACAGTTGGCTCAGACGGTAAAGAATCCACCTGCAATATGGGATATCTGGGTTCGATCCCCGGGTTGGGAAGATCCCCTGGAGAAGGGAACGGCTGCCCACTTCAGTATTCTGGCCTGGAGAATTCCACGGACTGTATAGTCTATGTGATCGCCAAGAGTCGGACACGACCGAGGACTTTCGCTTTCATAAGCAGATTATAATTTATTTTGTCAAAGTATGCTTTAAAAAAAAAATTGGCTGCACTGGGTCTTAGCTGTGGCACATGGGATCTAGTTCTCTGACCCGGGATTCATGAAGAACCTGGGTCCCCGGTACTTGGAGTGCAGAGTGTTAACCACTGGATCACTAGGTACAGATGGCATTTGTCAGCAATTAGTGGGAACTAAAAGTTTTCAACTTTCATTTAACTTTTTAGACTCTAGGTATTTCTTACTCTCTCTTCAGCTCATTAAAAAAAAATTTTTTTTTGGTCCAACACTTTGCACTGTTCCTAGTTGGATGCTGCATCTTGCATTTGTAAGTCAGTGCAGTTATAAAACCAACAATTCTCTCAGGTTTATTTTGGAAGCTGGATTGATACAGGAAACTCAGGAAGAAAATGATCATTTCTCTAGAAACGGTGGGAAAGCTGAACTAATTTTCTTATGTTCAGTCTTATCCATATGAAATTTAAGCTATTAAAATTATGTATCTGATTATTCAGGTATTAGCTCTCAGGTGTTCTCTTCAGTTCTTCATATAAGCAAAAATTGTCTTGCAAGGATTTTCATATTACAAATTTACAAAGTCATTAAAAAACCCTACTCTAAATCAAACGTTTTGCTCTTCTCCCATTATACGCTGCAATGTGGCTAATTGGCCTTCAGGAATAAAGCAAAAATCAACAATGAACATTCTTAGCACTTTGAAAGGCAGGCTCATTTTGTCTTTTTGAAAATTAACAGCCTTCATGTAAAATTTGTTTCATCTTTTGTATGCTCTCAGCTGTGGCTTTCAAACTTGTTTCACCATTACTGACTTTAAGAAATATATTTTACATAATACTTAAACACCACAAAATATCCTTACATGTCATATCAATTGGTGTTTCCTTTAATTCATTCCAGTCCATAGTTTCAGAGGGCAATTTTCCCATGGACTGGCAGGTGTGTGTGTGTGTATTGTGAATTTTATTTCTATTATCATTACATCAGCTCCACCCCCAGATCATCCGGCATTAGATCCTGGAGGCTGGGGACCCCTGCAATTGACTATGTATCACTTCCTTATTTTGTCAAAAACACTGAAATTGAGAATCATAGATCACCTGGTAATCCCTACCAGGTAACACTCCTTGTTTTATTTCCACAGACCTTCTGTTTGGAGGTCTGGATTGTGGGTGGGTTCAACCTTCCACAGTAGATTTGTGGTCCTTTCTATCAGCTACCCAGAGGTTCTACCCACTCCTTACCATCCTAGGTTAAGGGTTTTTTTGTTTTTTTTTTTTTTTTTTAGAT